ACCGTTGGGACAAGTGCTGTTCGCAAGTACCTATGAAGGCCGGCACAGCACTCGAGGGGGTGGGTGGCCAGCACGACTCCCGGCCGCCTTTGTCTCCCAAGTGGCAAAGTTTACATCTCCCACTAGGTACTCATTTGAGACTGAGTCGATGTAGGGGAGGCCCAGAACCGGTTCTGGTGTTGGCCGTGAGCGGGAATCGAACTCGTGTCGCCGGGTTCGCAGCGCGCTGACCGCTGCACTACCACTCCCCATGGTCATTGGACAACCTCCATGACCAACATAATGTGTGGAGGGCCTTCATCCAGCATTGGACTGGCATTGTAAGCCAATAGTTATTACTCACTGTGTAAGCAATGCCAACTGTTGCAAAATATTGCTCATGCATCTTTTTAGATCTTGCACCTAAAAGTTGATGACGAATAGATGGAAAACATCCGTTTCCTCTCCGAGTCATCTCTTGAGTCAGCCAGCTTGAAGGACAACCTCATTTACCAAAGCTAATAGGATCAGCAGCATCTGCCACTGAGAAAGCCATTTCTGATCAATAGAATGCAATTTTTGAGGATCCATTTAGCTCCCTGCAGAAACCACAGCGCTTGGTAACTCCATCTGTATTCTGCCTCCCACCCCCATCGTCGTGCTGCCACTTAGCTAAGTGGTCTCGTGCACTGTACTGTGTGCTATGTCGGTGTCCCCTAACTCGCCATGAATGTAGCACGGAGGTACTGTGCCAGAGAATCTTGCTGCACTCCACTGACCACCACCACTTGGATAAAAATATCATCGGGAAACAGAAAAAAACATTTACAGGGACTGTCTCGACAACAACATGCAGAATTCTACCTCTGCGTGCTAATTGTGTTATAGTTTATTTCTGAAATGCATCACGATATTGCTATTATTGTGATTACAATTATAAATCATCACGAATCTATTTGTTTAGCCGGGCTCCCTATGAACACGATGCGTTTAGGCGTCACAAGCACGAATGCCGGGGTGCATTTCTCATCGCAGGGCTAACGAGGAATGCGAGCCGAAGCTTATTTTAGTAATTGCGGTCATTAGCTGGGGATTTGAGTGCACAGCGAGCGGCGGCGGCGATGTCTACGAGGCGCTTTTAAAAGTGCGAGTGAAAGCGATGCTGCTGCGCCCTCCCCCAGCCACAATCCCGGTCACCCGGACGCTCCACAGGGACAGAGCAGCAGCACTTCCTCCGCTGCGCTCGAGTGGCGTGGAAAGAGAGCGAGCAAACGACGGATCGTGCCCGCGACACCAGCCGCCACCTGGAGCCACATCTCTGTGCCGCCTCTTGGGGCAATTGTCCAGCACGAACAGCCACGCCAGGAACGAGACAGCTCCCTTCCTGCTCCTCCCTATTCCTCGACGGCCCTGCGCTCTCACTCCCAGCGTCCCCATAATTCCACCGGCCAACGCCACCAATGTATGTTCCATCTCGTCTTGCCTTCCATTGTTGACTTTCTCTCCGCCAGGGACTGGGACATGCACAGACGTTTCCTCAATGTACGCGATTTTTGTTAAACATGCCAACGTCAATAATGCAGCGCTATCTTAATGCTGCTTGAAAAGGCAGCGCTTCAAGAAAATATTGCCCAAATGTGGGAACAACACGCATCAAACTTGACACATTTAAAAATGTATTTATGTTGGCAATGGAAAATGTGTTTTTTGCCCTTTCAAGCAAAAAACACGCCTTCACAATTTCCTTTACATATCATAATTGCGCTCCTCGTCAATCATATTTCTATTGTGCGTTTCCCATGGAATACGCCCCACTCCACCTTTACCGTAACAACGCTCCCTCAACAACAAGTGCGTCGCATTTTATACAAAACCAAGAAATAGCAATGCCCGAGGTCACGTAAACATGTCACTTTAAACGCTGGCAGAGAATATGTGCCAAAAACATGTTCGTAATGCCTGTATTCACTAGACGAAATGAAACGTTACATGATTGGATATATTTAAAAGTTTAAATTATTTTCCCCAGAACCCAATTTTAATTAATGACCCATAGGAATCACAAACAGGTAATTTACAGGTGCGTCAATTTGGGAATTTTCCACTGGCGAGTAAGCGCCTTGCATTTTGGGAGTCATTGTGCGGTAAAGTCACGATTTGACACTTGCACCGACAGGAATTGCCTGAAGCTCCGTCATGGCAGGTGCATTTGTGCGCATCATGTTGTTTGTGAAGGTCTTCACAAAAATAAACGAACTGAAGCTCCCCCATCATGCATATTCATAAGTGGCTCAAACCTCAACAATTAATCATAGCCACATGCTGGCCAATTCGAAACATCTGGCCTTGTGCTTGGGATAATATTGCAATACTTTTATTTTTTGCTTACACAACATATTTTTTAACTAAACAAACGCTACTAAGACACAATCAGGAACCGCTTACAACATTCTGGGATGGTCGTTAGTCACACCTTTGTAATTGTTTGCTTGCCAGCCGTGTGCGATGGACTCCATTGCTGCCCTCTTAAGCCAACGCATAAAGAATAACAATCTTCCCTGCTAAAAACAGCAAGGGTATACTCATCTCCGTAGAAAACCAGAGCTGTAAATGGAAATTCTGTATTCCTATAGTGGGGTCAAGTTTATTCACAGGACAACCACTTTTGACATTCAGTAACATGGTACTCACTTTGGAGGAATGATGCTACTGACAGGAGGGGTTTTACCTAGCCACCTTGTGACAAAGAAAATGGGACAAAAGCTGAAAAGTATTCAAAGCAGCATGGAGATGATACTTGAAGAGGAATATGTGGCTTAGAGAACATACACAAATTAGACGCATTATATTACGTGTTAAGAAAAGTGGACTGTAAAAATGAACTTCATAGCTCATCGGATTTCTCCAGTCCAAATAACATTTTTTATAAATAAAGTTAAATATTCTGACCGCTGGAAAAGACGATGACCATTGATGGAGACCAACGCCACTGTGCTGGAACAAAGAATTTGGTTCGTGTGCAAGTGCTAGATGGATTGCTGCACACAAGACCATGAGAGATGATGAGAGCTTGAGGGAGTTCTTCATGCAGCAGTGAATATATCATGGATGATGATCTTGTGACTTTTGCATTTTGACTTCGAACAAACATTGCCCCAGGTCACTCTTACAAATGAGACTACCCTGGTCTCTTAAGTTCTCAGGTGGTTAAACAAAACAAATGTTTACATTGTTTTTTGCTCTACACGTTGTAATTAAAATGTAATTGTTGAACCTAACTCTCTGTTAAAATAACAATTTTGGTTGCAGTAGATGCTGACCTGGTTATAATGGAAATGTAAATAATTCATAATATATCTACACATTTAATCCACTAATGAAATTACCCAAACATTAATGCAATGACTCCTAAAAAACAAGTATTAAGACTCAATCTTAATTTGAAGCTTTCGTGACTGCAGGAATCCATACTCTTTGGTTCTTTCGGTAAAGTCACGCTTGTGTTGCGATCGAAACGTCGTGATTTATTTTATTTTATTTCTAACTATGTGTCTTGACCGAAAGAACCAAAGAGTATTGAGACTCAGTCAGGCTATCCTGGACATATAAGGGCCATTATTATACAAAAGTGGTATGTGTGTGTTAACTAAATGGTCAAACAATGGAAAAACAAGCATCTGCATTGAACGTTTTTTGCGGCTTGCAATGGAGGTGTGGAGGTCAATTTCGGATGTGTTTCTCACAGCTAATTTTAAGTGTCCCTATGCCTCAAGCACTGAGTGGAACATTATCTGCAGAGGCGTGGTGTTCTGTGCTGAAGCCCCATTTGGGGCATCGCAGAAGTCCGCCCAGCCTAAAACAAATTAGCAAGATGCTGTACGGAGCAGTGAATTAGGAGTTGATAGACACTTTGCTTACATTTATTGATTAATTTCTCATTGAAATATTTTAAGGTTGTTGGTAGACTGGAGTAGGCACGTGACTTCTAAATAAAGTCTGTGATGTTCTGAGTGCAATGTTTTTTACAGGTTGTGTTATGGGCATTGCTTTCCTGGACAGAACCAGCTGAAATGAAGTCCTGCTTTATATTAAAAAAAAATGGAATTGTCATATGGCCCGATGGTTCTGGAGGGTGCTACTACATTGCGATGTTTGGCCAATTCCAATCATGAGTATTTGGCCTTGCGTAGGATTATTTTCAGCACCCGGAGAAAAATCCACCATGGAATACGACAGGAAAACACTGAAACGCTCCGCACAGATAGATTCAACATTCCACTGCTTGTACTGTCATCTCCTGGCCACCTATCAGCGTTAAGCCGACAACATGTCAGTTTCCCTGGACAGGGGATAGCTTGGGCGTTCTGACAGGATCGGTGTGCATTCAAGATGATGTGGGCGGGTTAAGCAATCGCAATACAATGAGCGCGCAGACAACGGCAGGTTAAATAAAATCTCGCTGCGTTGACACAAACACTTGCAACGTGACACTCGGCTCTTGCAACGAAAGTTGCAACTTGCAAAGTAACGCGCGCAACGAGCCGCGATGAGGCTCCCTTCGTCTCCTCATTTCCCATTCCTCATCCCTCCTCGTGTTTCATGTTTGGTGCCGCGTTGGAGGTTACATCTCAGAGCTGACAACTTCTAAAACTATCACCACCATCACTACTACGATCACCGACACCATCACGACCAACACAACCACCAAACAACACCAGCACCACAATGTCACCAACAACATAAACATCACGATACCAACATCAGCACCGTCACTGTGACTACGATAAGACGAACATCCCCAGTTTAGCCTTCGGGGACTGTTGGGGCAAGTGCTGTTAGCGAGCAACTACGAACGCCGGCATTGTACACGAGGCTGTGGGTGGATAGCACCACTCCCGGCCGCGTTTGTATCCTCAGTGTTGATGTTTACACGCAGCATCAGGCGGGCACTCATTTATGGCCGAGTCGACCTAGGGGAAGCCCAGAATCGGTGTGACTACCGCCACCACCACCGACCCTACCTCTGCGCTTAACGAGTTGTTGCTGCTGCCGCTGGACTCACTCCCGACTTGCAGGAGGCACGTGCTGATGAGGAGAATGAGGTGGTGGAGGCAGAGCCGATGTCCGGCACCCTTCTGTCTGCCTGGCCAGGACGAGTGACCCATTGTTGCGGCTGGGGCCAGGCGTCCGTCCCAGCGTTCTCGGGACCCAGGGAGAGAGAGGAGAGTGAGTGCAGGCGGTGGTGTTGAGGGCAGCAGCAGACGAACAAAGCCAAGCGCCGAGCGAACTCCACGGGTTTTTTTCAATTTCCCTCCTCCCCTATTTTTGGCCCGAGACTTTGAAAAACGCCCCCCACCCTCCAGCCTCTTGCTGGACGACGACGCCATCTACCGCAGGGATGCTCTCCCCATCCTCTCTTCCACGGCACTCTTCAGACTCGCTCCACCTTCATTCTTTCGTGGGACACCGAACCAAAAAAACACAAACGTAATGCCCTTTCTCCATCCAGCAGTGGATTGATCATGGCTGTTCTAGATGTGTGTGCGCATCTTTCTCAAACGATACGCTGTTCCGGACGGACTTGGTGCCGTCAAAGTTTTTTTGTCACCATCGCGTTCTCAACCATTGCGTGTTCCACGACTCAGACGCGCGACGCTCAGGTTTACTCACCCGGCTCAGCCAATTGACGGGGGTGCAGTGTCGATATTTGGACTTGTCTTCAGTTTGTCTATTTGGTTTACGTTGATGTCCCTTAACCGTCTGTTTAACTGTTTCATTTAATTTTTAATAGTGCTCCGTTAATTATTGTATTTCATTGAGTGACTTTTGGTGAATTAAAAAAGCACCGCTGCATAGTCCCAACTTAGCCGCGCAACACGGGTCGCTGAGCACGATCAAACGCTCAAGCATGAACAGGACACCGGACATGCGTGTCAAGTTAAGCTCAAATTTGCTTTCAGGTTCCAAAATGTTAAACAAGGATTCGATAAAGTTACCACAAAGTCTTAAATAATTTTGTATTAAACCGCTTGTTTAATTTGACGCATTTTAAATGTGTAAAATAATGTAAAATTGGCGGTTGCGCATGGAATTACATAAGTGACAAATTTGGGCATTTGTAAAAATATGAAAATGTGCATTACTTCTTAAAAAAAAGTCCATGTTTATCTGGGGTGGAATACTTCACCCCCCCCCCCCCCCCAAGTGATTTCATGAATTTTGATTCAGGGTTACAGCTCAAGAATCGATTCCTTTTTCATTATAGCGCGTTAAGTCTACCACGTGCCGTTTGCATTCAAAGGCAACACTTTGTTGTAAACTCATTTTTATTCAAACTCTTCGATGCATCAGTTAGTTAATTTACACATGCTCTGTACATGGCCACCAGGCGTATCAATGGATATACTTAATTGATCGACAGGTCTCAGTGTGGTGGAATACATTGACTCACTTCAGACGTCTGGTCTGCGTGGAATAGGCCAAAACTATTAACCGTCCCCAAGTTTGGTCAACTATTTCTGAAGATGCCTGCTAAACAATTTAACAAAACTTTCAGTATCTTACACGGATATACAAGAACTTACAACTGTTTCAGCAGTCATGCATACATTTTGAAAGCCATCTCGTCTTTGGTGCTGGTACTCCCATCAGCAACAAAGTAAATTATAAACCTACATTTTTCAAGAATGTGTAAACTCCAAAACACCCTTAACCAGAAGCACGTGTGCTGCCTATTTATCAATGGTAAAGGTTTACCGTACAATTCTTACATTAACCCTGTTACATGTTTTGAGTAAGCATTTTCGGAATTGTAACTTTCCACAAGGGATAAACAAAGGCTTCCGAAATGAATTATGATCCAAACGGTAGAAACATCTAATGGCTGCAGGGGTGATGCAATCCCATTTAACCATTTTACTGTGTAGTACAAATATATTGATACAAATGCAATTTAATACATGCATCACAAGCTCCAAAATCGATAGTTGTATCAGTGCTTCGATTGACTGGTGTATATTAATGTAGAACTGTATTTACGAATTCAAACCAACAGCATAGTTTGGTAAATTTATTTTCAACAGCTGTAAAAACAATTGTACATAGGATTCTTCCACTGCTTCGCATGAAACATTATTTACAAAATTCTACTACAAATCCCATCAGCTCCATGAAAACTATCAATAAATTACTTTGTACGTAATCCCATTCCCTACAAGGTTTGTGTACAAAGTAGTGAACAAAAAAATATCCATCACATTGAACAAATGCGATCGTCCACCATACCTTATGAAAATATTACATTTAATTATTTACGCTGTATAACAGAGATACGCTTTATGTCACAACCAAGCGCTACTTTAAGTAAAAAAAACAATCAACAAGGTGAAGCGTGTGGACTGTGCATTAACAATAAGCACAGTCCCTCTAAAAGGCATATCGAGTGCGTATGTCCTCCAGCTTCTTGGAGACTTCAGCTGGTGTCCGGTCCAGTTCCTCAGCCACACTGCGCTGCTTTGCAGGGTCCATCGAGTTAAACTGTTCACATAGGTCCCCGTCGATCACATTCTGTTGGGAGGTGGGTGAAGAGAACAAAGTCTGGGGGAAAAAACTTCACGTACAATTCAAAAACCAAGACAAGTTTTCCCTCTCTATTTACACACACTTTCAAAGTGTGAATTTGTATTAGTGTACGCACTTTTTTCTACTTAAGTATTGGTTTGAGTGGATTTTCACTTTGCGTAAGCATGTTACAGCATATGCTCACGTACGTAGGTGTGCATTTCTTGTACGTGTAGAATTATGAGTGCACTCGAGCACGTGAAGAGCACCTACCTTGACAGGGAAGTAGTAGGAGCGGTAGCTAAGGTGGTCACGGCCACAGAGAGGCGGGTGTTCTGCCCTCATGTGCATTTCCAGATGTTGGAAAAAATCATGGTCCTAAGGCAAATATGGAGAGAAGAGATCTCATTTCAATCAAGCCATGTTCAATTTCATTTGTTAGAGTATGGTAGCGAGGAAATGAATTGTGATGTGAGCAAGCTGGGTTCAATTAAGGACCCAAAGACCTTACCTCGTGCGAGGTGAAGGGCACCAGGATGCCCACCCCACCCGACAGAGTAGTGTATACCAGGGACTCAGAACCGCCTGGAATGAGTGTAGCTTTCTGCAGCGAGAGGCATGTCTCTCCCACATGGTAGTTCATTATGATTTCAGCCTGAAAGAGAGGACAGCTTTCAGCACAGCTGATACCAGAAGTGCATTTTAACGTGCATCTTTAGCACTTGAATCATTCCTGAGATGACATTAAGATGGTGTTCAAAGTGAAGTGGGATAATTTAAATTCCTCAAAGCCACGGTGACATTTTAAACAGGGGGCACTCACCTTTTGCGAGGCGCCATTGAGAATTCCTCTGTCCCACAACGCCTTGTTTCCCGTGGGATCCTCGTCCACGTCATCATTGATATTTGGAGGAAGTCGTACCTGAAACCATAATAAGCACTTTACCACTTGACATAATCACAATGCAGGTTTAAAGCCACGACAACCACAAGCCAAGAAAGACATTGAGAACGACAGCTGGGTGAGTCAACAAGGCCAACTCATCTCATCTCTATTTCTTCAATGTTTTTTAACATGAATCCATTAAGTTACCTAAAGTACCGTCATTAAGCCTTAAGTTGTCATTAAGGTTTTAGTGATTATAGACATTTGCTGCACGCACCACAGCGATGTTGCCAAACTTGTCTGCGGCAGCCATGGTGTCGTAGTCGAGCTGCCAGGCAGTGGTGATCCACCGAGGCATCGTGTCGTCGGCAAAGATGATGAGCTGGTTCTCATTCCGCTTGTAGCGTACCCAAAAGAAGCTCTCTTGGATATCCGACACAATTACACGCTGCCCAACCGTGTGGATGCCCACGATGAAGTTGGCGACGTGCTGAAAGCCACAAACACAAGTGTCAATACAAGTACTCTACTCAGGATAGAAACACCCACATTAGTATTTGCAATGCCCCGTTACCTTGTTCTCACACTTCCTGAGCAGTTTCTTCTTTCCCAGGTCGTACAGGCGAAGCAGTTTCCCTACCCCGATGAGTACTCTGCCTTGAAAGGGTGCAATGGCCGCTGGTACATCTTCAACTGGCGTCTGCAGGCGAGTGGACATGGTCAGCAAAGTATCGTATAAACAATTTTACAATGTATTTTGATTACAATCAAATGTGTTGCAAAGACAAATGCATCGCTTGAGACAAATGTGGTATTTATTATGCACGTGTAGTTTGTCGTTAAGGAACTTGTCATTTCAGGCTGCACACCTTATGAACAAATTGAAATTTCTCTCCGTCCTCCACAAGCTTGTACGTGTAGATGAATCCACCAGCAACAGAACGTGGCGCGAGGATCAAATCCTTGGCCACACCCACCAGCACGTACCAATCGTCTCCGCCATTTGAAAATTTCAGCACGGCCACGCTGCAGACACGCACACGTTAAGTTAAACCAAGTGTCCTTTCACCAAAGGTTCTTTAATAACAGTTAAAGCTATAACACGCCGCTTCAACGAATAAAATTTTGTACTAATTACAGCATATTATTAAGCACCAATGTGTGAAATTACCATGATGCAACAATCAATGTCTTCCCTCACTAGTATTCCTATTTTTACTCTTTGGGTCTTTCATTAAACTCACGTAAATAGAAAATAAAAAATCACGACGTTTCGATCGCAACACAAGCAATCGTATTTTTTCACCTGAAGACGATTGCTTGTGTTGCGATCGAAACGTCGTGATTTTGTATTATTTGTCTATCTACGTGACTTTACCGAAAGACCCAGAGTATGAATTCCTGCAGTAACAGAAGCTTTAAGTCAAGATTTATTCCGATTTTGTTATCAGCATCATGTCGTGACACATACGTTCAGCACTCTTGCACAATGTACTATACATATCATCCCATATTAAAGTCCCTCTGACATCATACGACTACTTCTGATGTCCCTGAAACTGCCTGCTATCCACACACTAGATGGTGGTGCACCCTCTCACATGCCCCTAGAGGGAATTACCACATTGCAACCAAACCAAACGTGTATTAGCTCTGAGTGAAAATGTGCCTAATGGAAAAAAACAAAGTTAACAAAGATTATTTGTGTGCATTAATGGAGGACTTGGCTGAGACTATCAACTCACTACCCTTGAGAAACAGATTTCAAGAGGAGTTGGTTGCCTGGATTTTAACCCAGAATCACAGCAGTGCCAGCATGGTGCTCTGATGCAGTAACTTAGCCCCTTGAGAAATCCAGCCAACCTAAATGACAATATATGTTGAATGACTGGTGACATTCTGTACCTGAAGGCAGCCTCATTTTGTTCCAGTTGGACAAGCTCTAACGTGTTGCCCTGGATGGGGTTGAGGGCCCTCACCACAGAGGCCCACTGACCGCTGCCTGCCTTGGGCGCGCCAAACGTGGTCTCAGGTAGGTTCTCGTTGAGGAAGGCAGCAGCCATCTCTGCCGCCAGCTCCCGCTCTTCCTCACCTGCTGCCTCCACCATTTCCTGTACAAAAAAGTATTGTAATAACCACAATTAATGTAAGTAAACACAAGAGGAATATTTAAGCTTTAATTTCATTCACAAGATGGACCAGCCTAGGGTATTTCTTAAGTGCCTCCCATTATGATCACAAATAGATTAAAGTGAAATTGACTTTATGTACTGATCCAGCACAATATAGGTATAATAAATATGCAACAGAGGATAAGTCAAATGCAAGATGTCTCAATAGCCATTAAGAATTAACCTATTCTTCCCTTCCATTGTCAATTTTACAATCATTCCATAGCAGAACTTTTTGGTATGCCAAGGCTGGCTCACTTTTATCGGTCCAATCCATATTTAATTTTGGTTTTACTTTTTCGCACCTCTGCCATTTGTTGTTTGCGCTGAGCCTTGGTGGCCTCTGTGTAAGCATTGTGGTCCGTCTCGATGATGATGAGGTTGTTGCTGTCAGGATGGATGACGAACTTGCGTGGCGTGTACTGCAGTGGCGTTGACACCTGGTTAAACACCGCACCGAGCTTCTCCAAAGCCAAAATCCTGCATATCGGCAAGGTAAATATCACAATTAATTCACCAAGATGTAATATTCATTCTACAATTGTTACAACACAACCTAGAAAAAGTGCTAAGTTGTGTAAAATATACTGCAAGAGCCTGACCTCAGGGTGTTTGTAGAAATAGCCACAATGCCCTCAGGGCACTGCTCGGATGCAAAACAAGAGGCATACTCCAGCGTCTCATAGGACAACGGGGTGAGATGGAAGCGCGATTGGTACGAGTAGCTGAGCCAGGATCGGCTGGACATGGCCAACACCTGCCAAGTAGAAAAAACGATGCAAGACATTCAGTGTCAGAAATACATATCCATTAAAACAACCCATGTTAAACACTAACTTCAGTGTAAGGCAACTTACGGCCTCTTGTCCCTGCATGAGGACACGGAAGAGCTTAACGGGTCGGGAGCCCAGATATCGCGTCCTGGTGTCGGACAAGTCCCCTGTCACTGTGTCCAAAACTGTCCGCAACAGGACACCATTCTGTGGAGCACAAAATTGACCATCAACCACAGTGATTATTTAGTAAGTAACGAGCAATGTGAATACAACTATGCGCGAAAAATAATATTTACAGATGCATGCATCACTGCTAGATTCCATACCTGTAGGCCAATGTTGAGGTAGAGTCCTCCAAGAGAACCCTTCTCTCCAGACTCGTCTTGCTTCTCAGCACCACCCATCTCCACAATGCAAAGTGCCTCAGGCTGGGCTGGGAGAGCCTGCATACTCAGCGGCTGCAGGCAGTCCTGGAAAGAGCGGATGAGGGAGCAAGCCACGTCAGATGCCATGTTACCTGGACTTCCCAACCCATTCACACCCAGGAAATATTAATCAGTGCGAGATAACCGTGCATATGCGAAAGATGTTACTTTAGCATCGTCATAATTTTAGGACTCGGGTTACCGAAGGGTCCAGAGAGATGATGCGCACGGTGTTGTCCACCAGACCAACAGCCAAGAAGCGCGAGCGCTGCTCCCCGGATGGTACATTTGCCAGGCTCATGCAGACGACGTCCGCAGACATCTCCTTCCGCTCCGTGTACTCATTCAGCTGTCCAGACTTTACAATACACAGATAAGACAGTTATTTTTTTTGCACTTACATTTTTGGTAGATTTTGTTTGCAGTGGTCCAATTCTTAACCAGAATCATGTAGACCGAATGCAAGTGCAATTTGCAATAAACTGCAATAAAAATGCTATTTCATCGAAAAAACCTGCTAAAATTGTAATGTATTGATCCCAGGAATGCACTCAAGATGCTCCTTTAACTTGTTCTAGTAATAGATGTTTATGCGTTTGGCATACTAAATGCACCCTCTTAGTTACACTAGCATAACAATTGTTCTGCAGTCCAACTCACCGGGTCCATTTCAAAGTAGACAAGCTCTCCACCACTGAGAGCAATCACCACTTGCCGCTGGTTCACTGCACACTTCACAATCGCCTTCTTCCCTGGCGTTTTCCACTCATTTACTCGCTTGTCTGCACGAATGTGACGAATGCCATCTGGGTACACCTGAAGGAAAAAGCGCCAGTGGATGTTAAAAAAATACTCCCATAACCTTTTCTTCTTCCACGTCACAAGTCCCATCATTGCATCTGGGATGGCTGCTCAGATTTTATTTCTCCATACTTCTATTCTGTGCCCCTTTCAGTCACCTCCACTATCCCTTCATACCTTGTCCCACCAGATCCCTCCATCTCACCCTCACTCTTCGAGGTGCACCCCAATATACGTCAATTTGATTTACTGTGATTTGTCAATACGTTCGTCGTAAATTAACACTTTAGTTTGTCTTTATTTTTTTGTTATCACATTTTTGTATTTTTCAAAAAATGTTTTGGAGAAAAAAATAAAAACACTTATAGTAAATGCATGTTATATAATTTGCCTGTGTGCATTTTATACTGTCTAGAGGCCGTTTGCCTGGCTGCTGTGTTTCCTAGCCTGACCACTTGTTTACAAGTAAAGCCGCGCAGTTCAATCTACCGTACGTTCCACCACACTTTGGACTGTGCGTACTGTACGTACTCCCCACAGGGGGAGGCAGCCGCTCCGAGTGCCCCTCCCTCACCTTCCCTGTAACCCCTCATCACAGCATCAACATCAAGACATGCACCTCAGTGTCCAATTAGTAAATTGGTGGAGAGTGTTTTTAATTACCCGTCTAGTTATTATTCTCCATAATTATACAAAAAATATCTTAGTTGTGTTGACAAGTGTTATAAAAAAATTGAGTCACGACAATATTTTATCCAGAAAGCATCTTCGGTTATTTAATGGGAACTCATGGGATAATAGGTTTCGATAAGATGTTTCACTCTCCGTTTAGGTTTTCAACAATGCAACCCAAACATATATTGAGGTGCCCTGCACTGGCATCTCCATCACCCTTCTAATTCCATATTGTCTCTTCTCAACACATGCCAAAACAATCCAAGTTAAACAAAGTAATTTCCCTGAAGAAATATTTGCAATGTAAATATTAACAAGATAGGATCAACCTGACCCACGATCGGATTTTTTCTCGGTGCACTAGCATTACACTTATTTCACATGCAACCGTAAAAGCCAGCCTCTGCGCGCACCTGTACGAGGGCATCTTCGCCAAGCAGCGAGCACGATAACGTGGGTGTGGTGCCCAGGAAACCGGAGTCTGTGACTTCCTCCACAGTCTCTCCGATGGACAGCACCAGCGTGGCGTTTACGAATGACACGATGATGTACGCGTCATATTCCTCTGTTGTGGACAAAAAAGGCGTGTGTTGAAAAATTCAACATCCCCCATTGCATAAATACATAAGTGCTTTCAGACAATTGTATATGAGATCGACATTAAAAGTTAAAGATATAACATTAGATTTTTTTTAAGATCGTCATAATATGCACAATAGAAAATATTTCAATATACATTTGGCATTAGTGTTATGACTGCATTTTAAAACACCAAAATCCACTCAATGCCACTTACCTGGCATAATAATTACAATGTGGAAAAAATGAAAAATTAACAGCTCCCTGGATATCAGTAATCCAAAATAAATGATTTTACATCAAATATGTAACGTATGCCAACACTTTTGTGAGCCTTTTTCCATTTTAAATATAAATCCAGTCTTTGGAAAACGTTCTGGGACAAACTTAAAGAGCTCTATGACGTACAGCATTTTAATGCACAAGAGGCAACTGGATAGAAGCTGGACATATTTCTGGAGTGGACGCTTCAGACTTATGGATAAAACTCCCTCATGTTTAAATTGGCTTGCCATTCACAACTGGAAATATACATACCTATATTGCAGAGTGACAGTCAGGGCAACCTACAGGAAAGAAACAAAGGCTTGGTAGGGGGGGGGACCAAGTGCCAGCCATAATGTGTCTGGCAGATACTAAAAACACCCAACGGCAACACCAGCCACAGCTTGGAAACCGAATGGTGTTTTGCAGTCCAACTTTTAGATGCATTTTAAATCAACCAGAACTTTCAAACTATTTTTTAGCTTATACTTTTTGGACTGTTATATCACCCTGGGATTTGTTGAACGAATTTTGAAATATCACACTGCCTAAAAAGCCCACTTTTGCTTAAGGATAAAGCATAATGTCTACTTCTAGTTTGCAAATGTTGGCTATTTTCTGCTCAACTTACCCTCAATGTGCTTCCTGACGGTCCACACAGCATTTGGGTTACCAGGAAGTTCGGACACAGCCATCTCAGACACCTGTTAGCAGAAACGATAAGATTGTCATGTACTGAATTAAAATATATAAAAATTAAAAAAGCTCCTTCAAGCTATATAAACACAGTCCAATATGAAATGAGCCTACAGGGGCATACTTGTGCAAGCTCCTTAAAATCACACACAACGCTGTCAAGTCTTAAATGCAGAATAACAAAACATTTTACTTGGATAAAATATATAAGTAATATTAACTACTTAGAACTCCGTTCTGCTTGCTCTTGATGAGAAACACTCAAAAGACAAGTGGAAAAGACAGCCAGGAGGTGAGCTGGTGCCAATAATTGTCCTAACTCGGCAGTTATCTATATATTAAGATGTTTCCAGCAAATTAATGTGTATATTCACTTGGGAGAAAACCAGAGAAAACCCACACATGCAAAGGGGCAACACTATCCCACAGAGAAAGAACATTAGAATAGTTCATGGCACCTTACCACCCACAGGAAGGGAAGTTGACAATGTGTGTTCTGGAACTATAACCACCAGTACTGGATTAAAAGCATGTGCCACCACCACACGGCTAATTGTGATTACCTCAAGCCCATGCCTAAGCACACGCAAGGAAGAACGTGGTCCGCGCCCACAGGCAACATACATCTGAGGTGTATCCTCGTTCGCCAAATCCGCGATCTGTAGACATATATATTGATTAAATCTACAAAAGTGCACAACGAAGCATAGAGAAGCAAAAAAAGGCCTGGGAACAAACAAAAATCAGAGACACGACATTCACAATAAGTAAATGGGCTAGGGGGCAAGACATCGCTTGATGAGATTACAGCCGATAGAAGACACTGGTGACAGGGAATGCCAGTCAACAGAATGCATCAAAGAGCACAACCACCTCGGAAATGGAGCCATGAGCTCAGTTCATGATAGGAGACGGATAGTAGCACTGTACCATGAGGGATGGTGACAATATGGGGAGATCTTCATCCACAAGTGGATACACAATGGCTGAATATGATTGCACGAGGGGCTAGATTTAAAACAATGTTCGTAAAGACGAGTGCAGTAAGTCACCTGGCAGGCCATGATTGGAGAGAGGCTGTCCAGCTCATCCACTAACACCAGGTTCTTGAGGAGCCGTACTTGGAAGAAAAAAGTGTCGCCTTCTTCCAATGGCATGGCCGAAGAGAACTCTGGCTCTTCGTCATCATCTCCCAGGTGGGCAATCTGATACAGGTAACTGGAGAAAAACCATAACTCGTAAATGAGTGAGCTGTAATTCATTTGTACATTGTTATGTAGTGGCTCTGGTATAAATGGGAAATACCATGACAGCTGAACCAGTCAAAATGTAAGGTTCTCTATTAAGATGCCAGTTATATAAACACGAACTGAATATTTTCCGCAGGTAAAGCAAACCAATCAATATTTAAGGGCAGTGTGCCTTGATGGACAGTGCTATGTAATTTTCTGAGAATATTCACACATTTATGGGTCCCTGCATTAAGCCATTGAAAATAAGTCTATCTTTAAAAGTTGGCTGTTATAATCATGTTGTTTATCCCAATAGAAAACAACTGAGTCAGAAGCAATTCCCTCTTCAGCAGGCATAGCCTGGTCAGAGAAAAGGCATGAATGTATACAAATCATCATTCTCAGTTGCAAAGTTGAATTTTGATGCTTTTCAGAGTTCAGTGAAGTTTTGTTCACATTTGACCATCTTTGCCAGCGTTAAGATGCCACCCCTCATGTTACGTTACAACCACAGACGGACAACACTAGTGTAAAGCAATCTCCTCTTAAGGACATTAAAATACAAATAATAATTTGTGAATGACATGCTTATGTTGGTCCAAAGCACAAATAATAGTGAGGTAATAAAGTTGATACTGAATTTAGCACCAAAATATGAAATGTTACTCACTGATTTCCAAACTCGGAGGCCACAAAGAGAAAACCGGTTTTAAGAACACACATGGCAGTTGCCACAGGCACCGTGTCAAAATACTTCATCCTGATCTCAGTCACCTGTAAACAAGAGAGCAAAACCTCTAATTCACATCACACGGACCTTTACTGCTTGTACCGATTAGAAAACATGAAAATGTTTTTTGTGCTTATACTTGGCCATATTTTCTTACCATGTCCTCATCAGTCTCCAACGTAACTTTAAAGATGTCACCCTGCTCAGTTTGGACCAAGAAAAAAAACATGGACTTTGTCTTGTGAGTGGCAGCGCAGACAAAGATCATTCCACGCTCTGGATCATCCAGGTCATTCTGCAGAGAAAATTCATTCACAGATTGAAAGTTTATTTTTTTTTAAATGTTGTCACACTACACCCAAAATATTTAGCTATTAAAGAATTCATAAACGAATGAAAAGGGCACCTATTAACTATTACATATTGTTCACGTTAACTCCATATATTTTTGTTAAAATATAATTACACAAGCTGAATCAGATAAAAATGTTTTTTTCATGGCAGTGCCAGTCATAGAAAAGGCATGAAATTAAAACTCATCATATTCAGCTTAATGCAACGATTTGTTTTGCCATTAAAATATTTCCATGTTAATAGTTATATCCCACAACCGCTCAAAAGTTTGCTGCTGAGATTCATTAATGTATAATTGTGGTTCCTTCAATCTAAAATTCAGATTAACTCACCCGTCTCCTCGGAATGGGACATCTGATGTCAGGCTGGTCTCCAAAATTTTTGTAAGTGATGTAGTTTTCTGAGCAGATCAATACACCACTGGGTCCATCCGCACCACCAGGAACTACAGACCGTCAAAAAACAGCCTATAGTAAAATATCTCTGATGTTATAAATACTGTGTTTGTGTCAAGACATTAACTGAATCAGAAGCAATTCCCTCTTCAGCAGGCATAGCCTGGTCAGAGAAAAGGCATGAATGTATACAAATCATCATTCTCAGTTGCAGTGTTGCATTATGTATTTCAGTTTAATTGTACTATTAAGCATCAGTTATTGTACATTTTCATAAAAAATCCAGTGTGCTTTAAGAAATTCACCAGAAATTCATGGAAAATCCACACTTTGGTCACACCTGACAAATGCCGAGGCAATGGGTGAACATTTTCGGGTAATGGGCATGCAGTTGGGTGTTATGCTGATGTAAAATAGAAAAGGTATGTGGTGCAGGTCTTACCAGGGATTAAGAAATTCCCATGCTCCTCCAAGGGCTCACTGTACTTCCGCACCACATGGTTCAGACCCAGATCCAGCTCGTAGAAGGTTAGAGTCTGCTGGGTGTTGGCAGCGGCCTCTCCAGAGGGATCGACATCCGCCTCCTAAAAATGCATTAAGACAGACTCAATCGTACCTGTACTGCTGAGACCTTTAAGTCAATGCTCAATGCATGACTGTCCACAAATAGCAGTAAAATGACAATATATCAATCTTAATGGTCATTATGAGGCAAATACATTTAGTTGCATGTGTAAAATTCATATGCTGCAGTGCATGAGCACCTACTTCATAATCCATCTCCAGACAGGCAAACATAGGGTTCTCAAAGCCCACATCAACGCCCACGACGTGGTACACCAGTGTGTTGGCCTTGTGAGCCTCCAGAGGAGACGAGATGGTCAGCCTGGCAGCAGCATCACGATTCAGGATATACACCAGCTTCTGTTTCTCAATCGCGCCTGGCACACACAAGGCACATTATTTAGATCCCTCGACAAGATTTTAAAAAAATCATGAATACGCATTAAGTATCATTTTATATGCATTTGTCTTTGAAAGTAATGAACTAGCAGTTTGGAAGCCGGTGGGTAGCTAGAATGGAAAAATGCGCTTGCGTATTTGTAAAAAGCCATTTTTTAACTGGTCATTTGTCTCCCAAGTTTTAACGAGTCCCTGATAGCAACAACTTTAACATAAAATGTATTCACATTGGATCACATTCCTATTGCAAACAAACTGGTGGAGTGCCAATGTAGTTGTCTTGGCAGATCAGTACATCATTGGGTCCCCCCCCCCTGCACAACCAGAAATTGCACAGTCATCAAAAATAAGTATACCGTCAAAAGCCTATGTTATTTATGATGTTGTTTATCCCAATAGAAATGAACTGAGTCAGAAGCAATTCCCTCTTCAGCAGGCATAGCCTGGTCAGAGAAAAGGCATGAATGTATACAAATCATCATTCTCAGTTGCAAAGTTGAATTTTTATGTGTTTCAAACGTTTCGTTCTTATTCGATCTTAGCGAGAGTTATGACACCCTCTTGTTACAGCCATAGAGACAACACTAATATAGAAGAAGTGCCTTCAACCTTAAATTGTAAAGTGTTGAAAATACCTATTAGGCAGGACATTTCACTTAACAAAGCATGTCAAAATAATTATGTGACCATCTTTATTCCCATTAGTTCCTTCACTCACCAATCATGACGGCCCTGCCCTTGGGGTCGACGGCAAGGAATTGGCCTGGCACAATGCGTCGGCAACCACTCTTGCCAAAGGTCTCCTGGTGCACCTTATCGAAGGCATTCTTAGATGGCTGGTACTCCAGAATGACGATCCTGCCCGAATCGGTCCCCACCACGACGTAGTCTGCCACAACACAATACAGCCGTCACTTTTACTGTGTCAGACACTGCAGTTTGGCAAACTGCAGCAACTTTTTTACGCTGAATCAGATAAGAATAATACACTTCATGGCTGAGCCAATCAGTGAAAAGGCATGAATATTTGTGCATCATTTTCAGCATAAAATATATATTCTCCAGCTATGCAAGTAACTTCCAACAATGAAAAGGTTGCTCATGGCTACATAACACTAAATCGCAAACATAATAACGTGCGCACACGTACCTTTGGTGCCACCAGTCAGCCTGAATGCCATCAGGGAGCGGATGACCCCAAAGATCTCCACCGTGAGCAGGGTGTGCACCTTCCCCGTGTTGGGGTCAGGCCGCAACAACTCCAGGATCTTGCCATGGGAGATGACAATCTCCTGCTGCTTGGTCCCTGAAGACAAATAGATTATCATCATGTATTCTCAAATGTATGCTAACACCAGTGTTAAAAACTGATGTTACACCAAGGGGTTGACCTTATGGTGGTACCCCGGCTCTCGCATAATGTCCGTGATGCAATCAATATATATTTAATTTTTAGTCTGATGGTCGGCGATGCGACAATCGGCTCCTCTCGACGAGCCGTACACGATGCACTATTCAAAGTTGAATTTTTCGATAACGGATTTTTTTTTATGCTGTTTGGCGTTTCGACATCGCGGAGTAGCACTGATTTCAGACTGATTGGTACCCCAGTGGCGGAGTTAAGTACACCCCTGGAAAAAATAGTGTCCCAGAAATAAAATATTTAATTGCCTCGGCCATTTTGTATTATTTGGTACCCCGTGGTACCGCCATAAGGGTCATTTATCCATTGCCTCCAGAGGATGCATTGGAACTCAAAATGGTGCTGCCCTGGCTGTTGCTGGGGCTCATTGTTGATGCTGAGCCCTGGTTGCTTCGTCCTGGGCGATACCAGTGTTAGCCTGCCCTCTCCCATATTTCCTTGAACTAACATACCCTATACACACTCCCCCTTAACTTAATTATTTTGCAAAGCGCCTTGAGATGCAACTAAATTACACCATATGTAAACTTAAATTTATGTTGATTGATCCAAATGCATAAGGAGACTGTTCACAGCTCAAAATACATTCGCACATGCAAGCATGCTGATGTTTTACTATAACAACTCCCAATGAACATTGCTTTCACAATGCAATGTGGAGCAGATACTACCCCAAGGTTGTGGAATGCACTTTCAGTGCCTCGTACCAGAGAAGTTCCCATGGATGGCGTGTGTGATGCCGCTTGCTCTCTGCAGGGTCAGATTGTAGAGAAACATCTTGAATGACCACTTGTCACAGCAACACCAACGCGATTACAGCACTGTGGAGACATGACGCACACAAAGTTATGTCCAACTTCTTTCACACGGTACGTAGCCAACCGTGCTAATCGGATGTGCATCACCTATGCCTAGATGAAGAAAACATTTTCACGTGATCTGCATGTCCCGAATGGCGACGCTAAACACATTCTCATGAGTAGTTTAAAAATATATTGGTAGTTTGTTCCATTCATGTGCAACTTATATATTTTACCAATTATATACACTTGTAGACATTTAAAGGTCCGAGCATCACTATGCTGTAAAACATTCTATGCTCGCATAATTGACCCAAATTACTTGCGCTGTGGTAATTTAAAATAACTTACACGAGTGCAATTCCCAGTTGCTCAACGCAACTTAGTGAAAGGGATAATTTAGATGAGATAATGTAAAGCGGTACAATGAAAGCTAAAGTTACGATGCGAGCTATGCATTTGACCACAAGTTTAAAATACAAATTAGACCCACACATTGCGAAAGAAAATATGCAACTTCACATCTTGAATCTGCTGGTTGACAATAAACTCAAAAAGGCAATCTGCTCTAGCTGACAATTCAATACATACAGCACAACCTCGACCAACGGTAAAAAAAAAGTTCTACATACAGTACATACGACTAGCTGTGGCTTGACAAAGGGGTTGTTGTACAATATGCGGAGTGTGTGGACGTGTTTAATGTTGGATCACGATGTGAATTTACCTGAACAATATTTTCTTAACACACCCGTGCGTTTAGTTACTATGGGCTCCATCAGCTTCAACAAACGTGGGCTCCACGACCACGTGACCTCCCCGCGGCTCAGCTAGTTGATACAGACCAGAGCTAGGCCCGTAAACCACTGTATAAATGTATCACTTACACAATAACTCTAAACAACGTGCATGGATTTAAAAATCAAAACACCGTAACTAAAAAGGTTACCGTGACTTTACACGGTAACCTTTTCATACATTTAGGAACGTAACTGCTTATGTCGCATAACACGAAGACAGTGCTAGGCGCCTGTTGCCTAATGAATAACGATGGGAGGCGATGGCGTTGTTGGGACGGCACTCGACTCTTTAAAACAAATACTGTAAATACATCGCAGGACAATCGCGCATAGTCGCTCGTTATGTTTCCGCAGAATTTAGTTTACCTTCCCGTGTCGATCATGGACGGCGCGAGGCGATGGAGGCGCGGATGTTTATGGATTGCGCCAGTTCCCGCGTAACCACACTCGACGTCCGCCTGCACCTCCTGCTCACAAGGCCGCAAGCCGGGACCGAGCACGCATGCGCAGAACCTGCCACGCATGCGCAGAAGCTGCCATGTAGGGGGGGGGGGGCGGGGCTCACTCCCCACGTGCATTGCGGCAACGTGGGCGGAGCGGTCTGGCTCTGTCCACTGCTGGATGAATTAGCGATGTGATATCCACAGCTGAATGCTCGATCCACTGCTGGGTGGAGTAGTCAGGCTCTATCAACATTGGAATTGAGCAGTTAGGCTTCATCCACAGCTGGATGGTGCGGCCATATTAAATGAGGCAAGCTCTATCCACTGCTAGGTGGAGTCAGGTACTATTCAATGTTGTGGAGCAATCAAGCTTTATGAGGCATGCTCTATCAACTGCTAAATGCTCGATATCCACTGTTGAATGGAGTAGTTAGGATCTGTCCTCTGCTGGGTGGAGGTGTCGGGCTTCATCCCCTGCTGGATTGGACTGTCATTCTGTCCACTGCTGGATATATAAGCCATGATCTATTGCTGAATGTGTATGTGCATTGATGAATGAATGTATAATGCATGATCCATAAACTGATAAATGACGAGCAATGCTCTATCCACTGATAAATGGCTTCATAACACGTGCCATATTTTCTATCGGATGAACTATCCAATGCCCACATCTGCTGGATGTAGCAGTCGGGGTATCTTCACTGCTGAGCGGATTCGCGATGCTTGTTAGTTTTACCCACTGTTAGGATGGTGTACAATTCAGTTTAGGGTGCACAAAGTGTGTGCACAAAGTGTGGTTCACGTACATTTGGGTACCAAAACACGGCACACATTGGAATTAAATCAACACTCTTAGTCGTTAATTTAACATTTTTAAATGCCTCCTAAAGGTTACACCATCAATGCCTGCTGTGACATAAACGGCGTTGGTTACCATAGCGAGATCGCGCATTCAATTCACACCAAGTCAAAACCGCTTCAGCAAACACCCCACGCTGTATTTTGTAGTACACATTTCTGTATTTTTTTAGTGCAACGCTTTTCACGAAAGAAAAAATGTAAATGTCACTCCACACTTTGATAATTATACATTGTTGGCCTCGTGCAGGGTAGGGAACCTATAACCCATGGCCCCGAGTCGGCCCGAGACGTCATTTCGCGCGACTTCATAATTGCCGACAAACAACACGTATCCTGCACCGCAAGCGTTTGAGCCACACGAATATTGTCTTAGAGGGGAACATTTTATCGCTGTTAACACTTTATAATGTAATGCTTATTCACTTCTGGCCCTGCAGTAACATAAGTGACTGAGGTGTTTGTTAATGCATGCCCCGTCAAAGGTATTTGAAAGTCTTATTTGCCCTGAGCAAGGAAAATGTTCCCCACCACTGGCCTATTGTAATGATCACACTTCACAGATTCACAAGTGCGTTGGAGGAGATAGAAATTATTCTCCACAGGTTTATATTCGTCTAAATAGAGCTTCCTTTAAATATACCTACAGTAAGTCACGCAATAGTTCTACTTTATATCATAGCTAATGTAAAGTAAAAAAAAACTCGTCGGTCCAAACGAGGAGTTATCCCTTCCCTCCTTGCTGCATCTCTCCTTCAATCCACTCCACGTAGTTGGACACATTGGTGTAGACACCGTAGTGGCCTTTCTGGCCGCAACCAACACCCCAGGACGTGATGCCAGCCGCCACCCAGCGCTGCGAGCGTGGCTCCATGTAGGCGAAGGGCCCCCCACTGTCGCCCTTGCAGGCGTCACGCCCCCCTCCCGGAACACCGGCGCAGAACATGTTATCGGTGTACGTCAGCGTCCTGCCCGCAAACTCCATGCCCGCGTACGTGCAGCGACACTTGTCCTGGGCAACCACGGGCAGCGCCACGTAGCGCTGCCAGCGCGGCGTGACGCCGTGCAGCTTCGTGGTGGTGATGCGGCCCCATCCGGCCACGTAGCCCACGTGCCCGGGCCCCGGTGGCTGATCGGTGACCCCGCTACCCTTGTCACGACCGGGCAGGCAGATGGGGCTGATATCCTTCCTGAGCGGCACAGGCTCGGTGAGACGCAGCAGGGCTACGTCGTGGTCGTGAGCATCCTCCTCGTCTCTGCTGAAATTCGGGTGGAGGACGACGCTCTCCACGTGCACCTTCATCACCGCGCTGTCGTTGGCGAGGACCCCGCGGCGGTCTACCAGCCCGAGGTAGACGTCAACCTGACCGTAGTCCTGCGTGAAGATCTCGGCTGCCGTAAGAATCCAGCTGTCACCCAGCAGGGCGCCAGCGCCCATAAAGTGATTGTCTAGAAGCAGCATTGCCAGCCATGGGAAGTCACCACGGTGCGAGAAGCGTCCTCCGATGATGCGTTTGCTGCGTGCATGCCGAACCAGGCCACACACTGCCACCCGCAGAGGTTGGGTCAGTTGGTCACAAAATCACACCATTTCATGGCACAACGAGAATTGTACGGTGTTAGCGTTGGGCCTCCCACTTTTTCTCACCTGGCTTGCAGCCTGGCAGGTTGGGACTTCCCATCTCATCCACCCATTGTCCAGTCTCATTGCAGATTAATTGCCCTTCATAGTGTATTGCATAGAACAAGACATTAAACACAAACAGTAACAATTTACTGCCTTTTTACAATTCTGCTGGATATGGGTTACATGAAACTTAGAGACAAACTGAACTCTTAATTAGCAGTGAGCAACAACCTGTCAGGATATGAAGAACTGTGGAGTGGACGTAGAGGTGGCCCAGAAAAGGAACGAGTGAAGAAAGAGGATCAGGAGGGCATACCCCACATAAGCGGGAACAATTCCAGGAAAATAAACTACCAGCAGTTCAAAGAGGCTGTACCCAATCACGACAAAATACTTTCTTAATGGTGCATAAAAATTGTCAAGAGGTTTTCGTGACTTTGGGTGGAGTGATGGTGTAGTTATTAGTGCACTCCGTTATGAATCCAGATACCTTTTCTTTAAAACTGCTTTCGTGTTTAGTTTGTTGTCCTTGCCCCGCACCTCTGATTAGTATGGTTGGCTACGTACGGTGCGAAATAAGTTCAACATACAGTACATACATAAAGACCTGGGATTGATTCCCGGCCATGGCCAACATCAACGGAGAATGCATCTGAACCAGTCCTAAACCCCCACTTCACCAACACGTGCTAACCAGTGTGGTGAAATATGGTCAAATAGCCCCCTTGACCAACACGATGTAGCGAGGCTTCATCCAAGAGTGGATTGATCATGGTCCGTAGAGTGTTATTATAATACATAAATACATGTGTATATGTGCAATGGAACATACCATTCCCACTGGCCATGCTGTAGTAGGGCTCATTGCATGTGTAGCGGACGCTGGAGTATTGATCCATCTCCATCCTCCCATTGGCAATGGGCAGGGGTTGGCCACATGGTAGACCTGCAGTAATCATGTAACTTATCATTCAATCAACGCAATAGGATATTACAAACATTACAATTATAGCCTTAAATGCTTAACAACCGAGCACATATCAGCTTGGGCGTATAATGATGGATATTTGTTCCATCCAGAGTGTCTTTGTCTTGAACGGCATGTGCCTGCCGGCACCTGTAGTCCTGTAGTGAACGCAGAAGCCTGTGAATCGACCGCGGTTGCCACCAGACGCGGTGAAGGTGACCGTGGCCTCGTGACCGAGCACTCGGATGACACCAGCGGCACGTTGGCCACGCTCTGCCCTCAGCTCGCCTCCGCATAGAGTCTTCACCAGCTGGCCTCCCGCATGCACCTGCATCCAAGGGTGGTTTGGGGTTTTGGAGAAAGAAAATCATCATGGAGGGACTAAGATGATGCGTTTGCTGAGTGGAGGCCAATCCAAGGAGAACACTGAAAATAATAATGCTTTACTATTATTATTTTGTAAGTATGTTATGTTTTATATTTATGTTTGGATGTATTTTTTTGTACATTTCTGTTCAAATCCATGTTAAGTCTCTACATTGCTACATTTTAAATATGTATTAAATATATATTTGGGTAATCTACTGTATACATTACTGCGGAATGCTTAATGTCAGGATTAGTTTTAAGAACAATGTTTTTATAGGAAATATGTGCATTGCCACTTGGAGCTATCGTTAATGTGTCTTAGTGTGTAGGAAAACAAAACATCTTAACCAACCCTTATTAAATTGGCTAAACTCATTTATTTATTCATTCCTTCCATGGTTTGGGGGGGGGGGGGTGTTTGGTCTTCTCAACCATGCATGAGTTGCTTCTCCTAGACCAGGGGTCAGCAACTAAAATAACAGCAGACATTTTTTTCGAATTCGGTAAAAAACTCAATATTTCAAGAACATGACGGTCTTTAATAAATGACGTCACGAACCAATGTTTAAAGAGCCACATGCGGCTCCGGAGTTGCAGGTTGCCGACCTCTGTCCAAAGCTATTTGGCCAAATCTCCCTGGGTTTTGAAATCAGAGATTAGAAAAAGAAAACAACGAAATGGATGAAGAAAATATGAGAGACCTTTGCATAGCAGTGGGAAGTTTCAGGCCGACACCAACAACAATTTATTGATAAATAATGCATGGGATAAAAGAACACGTAAATCATCTTGGAAGCTAATTGGACTTACCTTGATGTGAATGAACCTGCACAGGCGCAGGGGGGGTAGGTGGACGTGGGTGAAGTTGAAGAGGATGGCATGGTTTGGAGACGCTCGCACCTGCCAGACGCGCGTCTCATTTCCAGGATAGGGCTCAGGAAAACCCGGCGAGCAGAACTCGCCCTGAGGGGCCGAGAGCTCGACCGGCGAGCCGCAGGCCCACCCAGCCAGCAAACACAAGAGCAGTGGCACGGGCCTGCAAGAACACACACAGACCGGCAGACGCAGGGTTAATCCGACACGACCCATCGCAGTCCCAACATATACCTCGCAGACATGCGGCACGTGGCTAAGCTGAGCACAAGGCAAGCTGGCGGCGCAACTCACATTTTACATTGTTTGCGGCTAATGATAGAGCGTCTATTGTTTAACAAGCTTCCAACAAAGGCTGCCCTGACCCAACACGTCACAGGAAGCCACTTTATATGTAAGCCTGATGTTTTTTTTCAAACATGTGGGAGTGGCCATGTTAGCGTCGTGATTTTGGCATGAATGCAGTCTTTAGAATTCCTTGACATCTGAAACTTAAACTGATGTTACGTGAAGCTAAATTAAGTCCGATGCATATAACACACGGCGCTGCTGAATGATAACATGCCACAACATTCCTCTGGCTTACGGGATAACTGCAAACGTCACAACACACAGTTACAGTGTGATGGTGTGCCGTGAATCCATGCAAGAGAAAGGTCGAAAATAGACAATGAATGATGCTTCATTGAGAAACTGAGAACATGGGCTGCTCACATTCCGGGGTACAGGCTGGCCTGTGGTCGTGGTGTTGTATAACTGCATTGTTTTCCGTGATCGATTTTGTAGCCTCCCTTTCTGACACAATGTTGGACATGAAGTCATGACCTCCCTCCAGCCTGCTGTGCTTTTTACTAATTGGAAAGGAGTGTCATGGTAACAGAGCCCTGCCTTTGAATATTAAGAAAGTACTGTAGTTTTCATGGCAAAAACATACAAATAATATTAATCATCACATGGTAATGAAATAGTTTGATAAACAAAGCCCCAAGCAAACTATTTGCAGGAACTTTGAATGTCCCGGACTGTCGAGATGAAGGTTGATCCAGTTCTCGTGAGTTTTACTTTTCAACCGAGCATCTCCGCCCGTCTAGATCGTTCCATCATCACAGTTATAAACAATGTTACACTGGCATAAATATTCCATCGTGAAAGTACAACATAATACAACAATAATATAAGTCATTTATCAAACATGGATAGATTATACTACAAGGACCCTGAATATCCCAATACGAGTTAATAGTAGAGGGCTTCAGCTGATTTCAACCATGAGTCAATTAGTCCCTTTTAGGTTAGATTGTGTATGTCGATTTTTTTTAACGACTGTGGAGTGGTGACCCAGAACAGGAATGAGTGGAGAAAGACGAGCCCACATGAATGGGGACAATTTCATGTATACAGTCTTGTCATCTTGTAGCTCCGGTTTGCTGAAAAACCAAATCAACTGGAATACATGTCCACGTGATAACTTGATTTGATTGGCTCACTTGGGTGGTGGAGGGTTTTAGTTAAAATATTACATTATACCTTCACGGTTGAACCCCAAATAAATTATTAATTAAGCATAACACTATATTCTTGGGTCTTTCGGTAAAGTCACGGAGATAGGTTCAAAGAAAATAAAAAATACGTTTCGATCGCAACACAAGCAATGATGACGATTGTTATTTTTTGTTATTTTTCGTTATTTTCTTTGAACCTATCTACGTGACTTTACCGAAAGATCCAAGAATATGAATTCCTGCAGTCACGAAAGCATTAAGTCAATATTTAAGCATAACACTGTTTTCTATCAGTTTTAGCATCATGCTGCAGAGAAAGGCAAATGACTTAGTTTACTGATGAGGATCGTTTTAACTAAAATCTTTTAGCATGAAAGGTAACACAATATGGAACCTTAGGCTGACCCTGCAAAATCATTAAAGTCATTTTCTCAGTCACGAGGTTTAGAGCGCAAATCAGAAAATTAAGTGTTCTGGAGTTTTAGAGTTACAAGCGTGGTGTTGACTACAATTTGTTTGCTAAATTTCAGCATTTTATCCCGTCCAGAATGTCATTATAATTTATATCAGCCGGCCAAAATTGTCTATAATATTTGTACTGTCGAAAAACAATGCTGGAATGTGTTTAACTACTGTACGTACGACAATTTTAAAGCCTTCCTAGCTGCATACAACGCCCCCTAGTGACCGGGAGTGTGACACCACAGGCAAGGCTGAGGGCAAAGTTCATATAAAAAAAACTAAAGGATGGGACGTCGAAAGAAACACATTGATATTTTGAAAACTCGATGTTTAAAATAAAACATCGACGTTCACTGAAATATCGGAATGAAAACATCGATGTTTTCCCGATGTTTTTGTATCAACTATTTACAGGAAAAAGCAATGTAAATATTCAACAGCAATGTTTATTAATTATAGAAGAAAATAATGATTTATTAACGATACATCTGGAAAACGTTAATCCTTTGTACAGTACAGTATATACACCTGTAAACATTTGGAGAGGGACGAATATATTTTATCCCATCGAGTAATTTATAATTAAGGTGACCGACAAGTGGCAGGATGTTTCCTACAAGTAAGCCTATTTTTGGACTGAAAACAACGTTGAAAGCAAAGCATTGAAAGGAAAACAACGATTTTACACGTAGGCTTTCGCGACCAATATCATCCATAATAGAGGTTTTTGGGTTAGATCACGTAAATATATAAATGTGTCGTTAAACCCGCCACCACCCGACACAGCCAACTCGTAAGGGTTGTCACATAAAAAGAACGTGACAATTCGTCACTAGTACAGCACTAACCGGTGTGTTGGAGAGCCAAGCCACAACATTTACAATCTGAGTACGACGTTTCGCCAGTAATTACAACTGGCTTCATCAGGCGACAGCCAGATTTGTGGAGAAGTCCACCTGTTTCGTTCCTTACATAGAGGTGTAGTGCAGTTAATGTTATGTTGGGCAAACAGGACAAATGATCAGCACGAGACTAAAAGAACATCAGATAAATATTAAATTCTCCCAAATGCAACTGTCAGCAGTAGCAGAACACGCGTGCCAACAAGGACTCTCAATTGATTTTGATAATGTTGAAGTGCTGTGCAAAACTAGCTACTACTGGCCAAGACTAATTAGATAATATATCTAAATTGAAAGAAATCAAAAAAATTTTTACCGTTCGGATAGCTACCACCTTCGTGCTGCGTGGAAGCGAATCATCAAATAATACATTATTTAAATGCATGCCGACAAAGGGATTACCGTTGGTAGGGCTATTTTAATAAACACAATAGATAGGAAGGACAAGTTCAAAGGGCTCGCATAATGCACATGCATCATGTACCTTGCCCCAGTAATACCTCCCCCGCCCACATTGTACAAGAGCGCAGAAGGGTGGTCAACACAACTACGCCTCTATGTAAGGAACGAAACAGGAAGTTTTAAATTTAGATTTAAAGCTTTCGTGATTGCAGGGATTCATATTCTTGGTTCTTTCGGTAAAGTCACGTATAAGGGAAACAATAACATAATACAAATATAAAACAATAAAATTCTCACGACGTTTCGACTGCAACACAAGCTTGTGTTTTTATTATTTTATTGTTTCCCTTCTACGTGACTTTACTGAAAGAACCAAGAATAGTAAGTTTTAAATAAAAAAATGAAACAATAAGACTTCACAAATCTGGCTGTCACCTGATGAAGCTAGTTGTAATTACTGGCGAAACGTCGTACTTAGTTTGTAAATGTTGTGGTTTGGCTCTCCAACACACCGGTGTGCTGTACTAGTGACGAATTGGCACGTTCTGTTTACGTGACCACCCTTACTAGTTGGCTGTGTCGTGTGGTGGCGGGTTTTAACGACACATTTATATATGTGTACGCGATCTAATCAAAAAAACTCTATTATGGAAAACATCGATGCTTCGATGTTTTCAGAAGGATCATCATCCATGTCAAAGCATCATGTATCGGAAACAAAACATTGATGTTGCTGATGCATCGATGATTTTGCCCATATGAATATATATTGACTCCCATTGCCAATGCACCACTGGATGACGGCCTCCCCCACCACCTCTCTGTCACGAGAGTTGGTTCGCCAAACTTTACCAGGCTGCTGAACGGGGTCTCCATGGACCATATCAGATAAAAACTCTCCACTGATGTTAGCCGTGCATGTGAATCGATAGTCGGGTTAATAGCTCCACCTTATTATAGCTCAAACCTGCTAAGCTTCAGAGATCTGACAAGTTTGGACGCATTCCCGGTTGATTTGGTCATAAAGTAGAAACAAGAGAATTGGCGCTCTGGCTAACAACAATTGAAGGGTTAACTCACTATGTTTCTGCATCGCCACAAACACTTGCGGTATGACACCCGATTCGTTCAAAGAAAGTTGCAGCAACAAATAAAAAAAACCCCAGCCTTAACTGAATCAACCATGCTTCCAAAATCTGATGAGATTGGACACATTCAGCGATGTGGTTGTGGTGTAATTTCAGGCCCCTTCATAGGCTGCATGGTTTGGCAAAGCTTGCGTTTGGATGAAATCCAGCAAACGCAGGCAAACTAGTAGAGTACAGTGTTATTATCCCTTTGATGTTGAGCTTAGAGACATTGGAGTCTATTATTTCCTATATAGTCAGTTTGTTTTAAACATTCATTTGGACCTTTTTCTGTTTATTTTAGCAACGATAATTCACACTATTAACGTGTTATGGTAGTTGCTGTGTACAGGACATTTGAGCAAATACAACAAACATGTTGGCATAACGGATTGTTGGCAAATAATTTTCCTTACATAGAGTATGCTGTCATAGATATGTCAGAGAGGTCCTTTGCAAAAACAACAGCAGTGCATGGTCTAGAGCAGGGTTTCTCAACTCCAGTCAATGATTACAAATCTTTTGTATTTCGTGCACTACACTGTGAATCTGCCAATCTGAGTTCGATTCTAGATTTAAAGCTTTCGTGACTGCAAGGATCCATACTCTTTGGTTCTATTACCTACGTGACTTTACTGAGTTCGATTCCCAACTCATGGCTAAAATTTGCAGCGAGACAAATCTGAACCAGTCATGGACACTCCCTTTCACCAACCCATATTGACCAGCGAGGTGAAGTATGGTAAAACAAATTCCCAAACTCTGACGGGGCATGGGGAGGCCTTCATCCACCAGTGGATTGATAGAAGCATGTACATAAAATTATGCATATTTTCTATGTGTGAAAATTGATCCACTGCAAACTGCATGCACCTGATGATTGGTAGTGGAAAGTTGTATCGTGGGGAGGTCACAAGTACTGGTGTTGAGAAATACTTGTCTCGAGTGCTGTTTCTTCGACTCCAGTGCTCATGGCCCGCATTGGTAAACTCTTATGTGCTATGCAACAATGTGTGACCAACACACATTTTTTTTGGAATATAAAAGATTGGTACATGTGAAAATCAACTTCATGGTGTGTGTATGTTGAACTTCTTTCGCACCGTACGTAGACAACCACGCTAATCGGAGGTGCGGGGGAAGGACGCCAAACTAAACAAAAAGCAGTTCTAAAGAAATTAGTTTTCAATCTAGATTATTTTAAAGTGCAAAGCTCCAGTGGCTTCCTAATATTGGAAGCAAGAGCGTTCCAGACGACCGCAGAAGCGCATCTGAAAGCAGTTCTAAAGAAA